CTTCTCCCTCTCCCACTCCCCCTGCTTGTGTTCCTGTTCTCGCTGTCTCTCTCTGTCATATAAATAAATAAAATCTTTAAAAAAAAAAAAAAAAGTATCAGCTATCATTAGGATTTTCCTAATGATTTGTTGTAGCAGCTGCTTAATTACCCTCAACTACACACAAAAATCCTATGAAATGCTTTTCTAATTTTTTTTCTTTTTTAGATTTTTTATTTATTTGCGAGAGAGGAAGACAGAGAGAGCGAGCACGAGCTGGGGGAGGGGCAGAGGGAGAGGGAGAACCAGACTCTGCTGAGCAGGGAGCCCGACGTGGGGCTCAATCCCAGGACCCTGAGATCATGACCTGAGCCGAAGGCAGACGCTTAACCGCCTCAGCCACCTAAGCACCCCTGGTTTTCTAATTTTATGGGGGTTTTTTAACCTATAAAAAATAACCTTTACTGGCCCTGCACAGTGCAGTACATTTTCTTTCTGTAAGATAAGCTCACCACTCATTTATGAAGTCCCTATACAGAAAAATAATTTTTTCCCTTTATCATACTCTGTTTCTTGTTCAGCAGCTAGATTCATGAGCCTTTGTGGTGGAAGGAGCCTGATGCAATGAAAACACCCAAGGGCTTTGAACTTAGGCAGGGATTCGAATCTTACTTGAAATCTCTACTGGGGAAATTACCTCCCATCTGTGAAGCTCATTTCTTCTTCTATGTGATGAGTGGATGATAATAAGACCTACATCAAAGATCCCTTCTAGGTGTTGAAGGACATAGAGTGAACTAGTGAAAATATAGGTGCTCAACACATTTTAAATGCCTTTTCTCTTTCACTGTCTGTTGTGTTTTTTGTTTGATTTTGGATTTAAAAAAAAAAATCTGTTGAGTGGTGGTGGTAGGGGTTTTGTTTCTGGCTAGTTCCTTAGAGTAAAATTAATCGGAACAAGAATAAAGTTTTCTTACCTGGTGTGTCAGTGAATGGACTCTGTTGTCTTATCCCCAAGGAGTTATCACGAAAAGTTGCATTATTAACCAGAAAGGGCCTAGAACGGAATAGATCACAGTGACCTGCTCTGTAATGTAGACCTGTCCTGGTGATGAGTTTGTAGCCTTATTTTCAGTGGCAAAGGTCAGCCTTTTCCTAGTGTATTGCAAGTTCTGAAATAATCTCTCTTGGCTCAGCTTTGGCCTTCAAAATTTTTAAGTCACAGTACTTTTGAAATACTAGAATCCTGACTAAAAAGTGGATGCTTGCCATTCTTGCAGTTTGCTGGAAATCTGTTGTTAATGCTAGTGTAATGTTATGCACCATAAGGACATATTTACTGTTTGTGTTTCATTACATTTTGAAAAATGCATATGACTGTACTTGTCTGTGGGAATGCATATATACACACGTACAGTGTATATGATGTACAGTGTATATGGATCTGTACAGTATGTATGTATACACACACATATGCACACCATATATATATCTATGGTCTTGAATCATTTGCATGTCCTATATCAAGGACAGTCACACGAAGACTTTTTAACAGTTCAAGTCTTTAATGTATTCTGTATCTCATTTGTGTGTTTACTCAGTTGCTAATTAAATTACATATCTCTAGAATACTCAAGAGATGCTCAATTAGTGACTTGGAAAATTTGACATTGAACAGCGTACCGTCCTCTGTAGTCATTGGAATCATCAAGGGGATGGGTGTTTTTCCTAAAATTACTTTTCTCAGAAAATTATTACCTAAACTCTCTACCCTAACACTGCCCGTGGTAATCAAAGGCGTTCTAAAGCAACAGTGTTTTGGGAGGAATGGGGGCAGAGAAAAGAGAGGCGCATTTTGTGTTGAGGACTGGGTCTGATTCAGTGAGGGGACAGAAGCAAAGAAGGAAAGTTTATTTTAAATTTTTAATCCTGAGGTTGATCCTGAAATACTTCCCCAAAATACAGATTATCTTTTTTTTCCCCCATTTTAATTGGGCTTGTCCTAGAACAGTGAGCCTCACATTCTTTTAGCATGAAAAGATTCCCCACAGCCTACCCCAAAGGTTCAGATTCATTTGATCTGGTGCAGGGCCCAGGAATCTTCATTTAATAATCACCCAAGTGATTCAGTAATCGCATGATGTAAACATTTTGATCAGATACCATTAATAATGAATTGTGCTAATGTAGCACATATTAAGTATTTTAAAACATACTCACAAAATGGAAACTTTTCAGAGGATAATAAGATTTAAAAATAGAGGCTGAAAGGTTTTCTTGCCTCACCCTAGAGCATTCATGCAGTGTAAGTACCTTTCACTGAAGATGGCTCACTGATGGGTGGTTTTTCAAACTGCAGTTGTAACCAGTACGTGGGTCACGGAATCTCCCTTTAGTGGGACAGAACCGACGTTTTGTTTAAATAGAATAGAAAATATCAAAGCACTTCATGTGATAAAGATCGTTTTGTGAGTTTTATTTATATATGCACTGGTAGGTAGTGTAAAACATTTCTTCTATGTGTGACTGGATCTTGATCACACAAGTGTGAAAGCTGCTGATCTAGAAGATGTTTGCAAGCACAGCCCTTCTATTTCCCCTTCTAAGTACGATGTGTAAAATGTGGGTTGATCTTTCTTTCCCTCCTTCTCTAGATCTTCGTGAAGCCTTTTTGTACTCTTGAGGGCACTTCTATCTTAGCTATGTTATCCTTCCAGGAGTATTTTGCAGCTGCCTTTCACATATAGCTGGGTGGGCCTAAGAGAATCCTAGATGCAAAGCCTTACCATGCCTATAGGCACCTAATCTGGGGATTAGATATACATGCTTTTCCTTGAACCGAAAACATGTTCTATCTAACTATAAAAAATTTTATCTTGGGGGGTGCCTGGGTGACTCAGTGGGTTGAGCATCTGACTCTTGATTACAACTCAGGTCATGATCTCAGGGTCGTGAGATCAAGCTCCAAGTTGGGCTCTTCGCTCAGCACAGGGTCTGCTTGAGGTTCTCTTCTTTTCTTTCTCCCTCTGCTTCTCCCCCTGCTGGCGCTTGTGTGTGTGTGTGTGTGTGTGTGTGTGTGTGTGTGTGTGCGCGCGCGCGCGCGCGCTCACTTTCTCTCTCTCTCTCTCTCTCTCTAGTAAATAAATCTTAAAAATGTATCTTGGGGTAGATCTACATTGGGTTATTTTGAAAGTAACACTTGGCTGGAAATTCAGAAGTGGTAGTTGAAGTTCGAGTTTCTAACTATCGGGGTCATCTCTTCTTCCAGTTATGTATTCAGTGCTCTTGGGTAAAAAAGAATTGTTGGTTTTTTTTATGGTCATCTTTATTGTAATATGGTGTGACCAGATGAGCCATTGTGGCAGGTAGCAGTACCCCCATGTATTTCGACAGTTACTGTCAGTCCACAGAGAGCCGTCTGTTGTTTGTTTTTAAATCTATTGTTTTTACCTGCGCGATCTCACTTGTTCAGTCTTAGGAGCAGTAGTTTTCTCTGCAAACTAAAGAATGCGGTCTTTGTTTTTGCTCTACCTTTGCTGTCTCTGATGTATTGCTAAAAATGAAGCACGCTCATTCGGGGGTTTTATCAACAAGGTCATTTAAACCTTTCCCACCAGTTATGGAACCTCAAAAGTAACAGTAATTGCAGCCTTTAAAAAATTAGCCAGCTCTCTTTCATTTTTAGTTAGAGTTACATTTCCTCATGTTTCAAAATCAAAATTTAGATATAGCGAATTCTTTCAAGGGAGGGGCACTGCTTATTTGAAGAAGAGCAGTAAGGGAGATTATTATTTTAAATCTCTGATAACACTAAACTGTATTTTTAGGAAATTGCGATTTCCATTCCTCCATCACAGTCGCCACATGCGGCTAGCGACTACCCTATTGGACAACACGGATAAGGAATGTTCTCATCATCACAGGAAGTTTGATTTGACAGCTCTGGACTAGATTTTTTACTTACAAAAGGAAAGATCCAAAGTATGGGTCAGAAGCATAAACTTCTTTTATTGTTCAACACAGAGATCTCTGCCAGTACTTTCTGTAGTTTTTCTCCTTTTTCCAGTTTGGAATATATTTTGCTTTTGATTGGTCAGTTTGTACATATGTAAGATATAGATGTTCAGTATATAATGAGAGCTGGGGAGAGTTTCTGTCTTTCTGTTAATCCCCACTTTCATATTTGTATTGAATAGGCAGCTTCTTGAGATAGGAAGAGATTATTGAAAGAAACTCTTCGTGTTTTGAGGTTTTTGAAAGGCTGATAGTTCACAGTCGATGTCAATTAAAAGGGAAGTTTTGTTACTGCATGGTTTCAATGAATTTTAGGTAATATTTTCATGTAAATATGGTATAATACATGTAATAATGTTGGCTTAAGAAGTGAGCTTAATTTTAATAGTGTCTTCTGCTTATTTAATCCTGCTAAAGATTGAGAAAGTAAATCCTTTATTTTATGCAGTTTATAGTCTCATGCAGGAGTTGTTGACTTAAGAGCTTTGACAGATGGGACAAAGGAAAAAAGTCAAACTGAGCAATGGGTGCTTTGGTGGGATTAAGAGGATTGGGGTGGGGTGGGGGGATAAGAAAATCCTGTGCCCGGGGACTGCAGTGGTGAATTTGCGAGGCTGGAAGTGACTGAGAGGATGGGCAAGTCAGTGTCTTTGGAGGATTTTCTTGGGATTGACGAGAATAATTTAGCAGTGACCCTGCTTTTACTTGCAATCCGCTCAGCTTAGATGTTCATGTCGGCAGGCCGAGGTTGTTGGCGGCAAGATCATCGCTCAGCTTGATAAGGCAAACGGCCACAATTGCTTTTGCTCCTTGTGACCTGTGGAGATTTCCTAATCGGGAGATGAACCCTGGGGGCATTAAGGATGCTGAAATTTCATCACAGGGATGTGCAAACAGTGTAGCAAACAGAAATCATCTCAGGCCAGGATGGTTTTTTAATCACGTAGGTTTTAGCCATAAGTAAAGCAATTTTTGCTCTTGAGTTTTAAAAAGTTGGGGAGTTTTGTTTCAAATTAAACGTCTGGGACAAGATTCTTTTGTGAAATTTTTAATTTTAAGGTAACAGTGGTTTTAGTTCTGCATTACGATCACCTTTAAAAACTGTATGTAGCTAGATGACAGAAATTTGAAAATTAATCAACCAAATGATACGGTGTTAGTAATATGCTTTCGTTTATATTTAAAATATACAGTGCTGAAAATAAATGTTCATTTTTGTTGCTGAAAGAATAGTTTTACATTTTATAATTATGGTGAATGTAGAGAAAAGAGGAAAAAGTATCCAGCTTAGGATACAGCAGAACAATGCAGGGCATGCAGTTATTTTATCATCTAATATGTCAGCATTCAAGAATCTGAACCGATTGTTTAAAAAAAATCTTGTACTTTGTTTCTTTTGTTGCTCATTTCCAACTTTGTCATCTGTCAGAATGCAAAAAAAAATTATCCTTCTATAACCATTGACAGGATAACACAAAAGCTGTCTCCAGGTCGATATTTTGCAGCAATATTTTTAACATACGAACAGTAGTTTTTATAATTTCACCTTGGTGCTCAACCATTTATTATCGTATCAGAAGCATGTCAGTAATTCCTTTCTAAATGTCTGCTTCTTTTAGCGCTGAGACCCACATCAAGGGCTTCACACTGAACGATGCTGCCAACAGCCTCCTCATCATAACGCAAGTTAGGCGGGATTATTTGAAAGGTATGTCACAATGCTTGACCTTTACGTCACATTAATGCCTCTGCAGATTTTTCTTGTAACGCCCTTCGAATACTTGGATAAAGGAGTCCATTTAGCAAATTACCTGCTTATCAAGAGCCTTTTGTGGTAGCTGAGAGACGTAAATTACTGTACATGCATTTATAATACAGCTTGAATATGAATGTACTTGTCATTTGACCACTTAGTCCAGTTTCCATTCCATTTAACACAAGATGGGTTTTCTTAAGATGAATCACAGCTCTTCAGACATGCAAAATTTGTGTTCCAGAACGAGAGAAAGTACAGGCTTTCAAGTGCGTTAAAATTCACAGCACAAGTCATTTTGCTTTGGAAATTAACATACTTTAGAGCATCTGAAACAATTCCCAGCAGTTGTTTCTTGCATATTGTGTTGGTTGTGTGTGAGATAGCAAATGAGTTAAATTGAGTGTTAAATGTGTGGGATTGTGCACCAAATGATTATAATATTGATTTTTAAAACTTAATCTAATACTTTTTCAGTAGTTCATAATACCAGCAGCAATAAAATACAATGTTTGTTTGGAGTTTGGAGTTTAGCGTTTTTCAATTAATGTTAAGATAACCGCAGAAAACTGCAGAGATGACTTTGGGGAGGACTGGGAAGGGGGCTGGCCGTTTGTTTGGTGGAGGGTATCTGTGGATCTGGAGGTCTTATGAGTGAGCTCCCAAGGGGAAAAACAGTGACTCTCTTAAATTTAGGTAGACATCTTTTCTTCTTGGGCTTTACATTTGAATTTTAATCAATACAATAAAACTGTTAAAACCACAGTGTTGCCAATACCACAAAACCCACGCAGGAAATCTGTACGGAACGTTGAAAAGGCTCTAATTGTTCACTCTGGTATCTCCTTGCTTCCTTGGACTGTAATAATGATATTATTCTTCACTTACGTGTTTATAAAATAATTTCACATCCCTGAAGGGAAGTTGCTAATTGTGCAGCTTTACTGTCACCTATAATACCTAAATGTGCTGGTCTTTAGATGTCCTCCTAATTGATTAGGACTGAGTATATAAATGGTGATTCCTCTTTTTGCAAAATTGCTACCTCCGCACTCTCCAGGCAGGGCCAGCCCATCTAGATAGCCCTTTTGGGCAGAGCTTGTTAACTAAAACTTTAAAAGCTTTCATTTTATTTTTGATTAAAAAAAAAAACAAAACACCTTTATTTCTGTAGACATGGAGGTAAAGATACAACACTTTTTTAATTTCAGGGGGGTTAATTTTTGAGCTGAATCTGAACTGAATTTATTTATTTATTCATTCATTCATTCATTCATTTAGAACTGAGCTTAATTTAACTCCTGTCCTTCACTTGTATGTTTGGTGCCCTGTGGAAACTACAGGAAACTTGATGATGTGATTTCACATCTATTCTTCTCAGCTGTTCCGTTCAGCTGGAGGTTGGCTGGGAGCAGGAGCCGTGACACAGCCGCCTCCATCCCCACATGCCACCTCCCGCGCCTTTTGCCACCACCTAACGATGCTCGTCAGCAAGGATGGGGAGTGGTGTTGGCACAGTCCCCATGGCTGACTGGAGCTCCCAGTTTGTGAAATCCCCTTCTCCTTTTCAGGTTTCTTTTTCTCCATCCCATCTAAAACAAAAATAAAGCCAGTTCAATCTTAATGTAATTTTATAAGCAGATTCTGTTCTGGAATATTAATAGCTGATTTGTGACACCTTTGCAACATAATCACTATTACTAGGAAATTAAGGTGACTGTGAAAAGGACTCAGGGGGAGAGTGTGGATGGGTATACCATTTTGGGTGTCCCTTAGGTCCTGAACTATACAGTGGGCGAGTCCTGTCACGGAAATTTGATTTAGGTTCTAAGGTCCCATGTTCCCTTTGGGTAGATGTAAAATGATCAACTGCCCCAGTCCTCCTCTCTCTCTTATTTACACATGCGCCCGTAGATGCAGGCTCTGGGGTGTTGGATTCTGGGGTTGGTGTCTAGCAGTATGACCTTGGGCAAATTATTTAAACTCTGTGTACCTCAGTTTCTCACCTATAAAATTGGTACTTAGCTCAGAAGGGTAGTTGTGAGTGTAGCTGCTTACTGCTGTGTCTGCATGCTCAGCGAAGGTAGAAAAGGTCCAGTTTATGCTAGTTACTATCATCACTATCGTTATCTTTCTTCTGTTATTTTGATCCAGTGGTGAGAAGATCCTCCCTAGCAGATGGTACTCTTGGTTAAAAGAACGTTTTTAAGTTGATTATCTATGACTACCAGTTAAGAAGATTTTATCAAGCTTTTTTTAAAATAGGTTATATTACTAATAAATAACATTTTTTGTTTCCTAAATATACATGTGTATTTATAAATGTGCCTTTTAAACTACCTATTTTCTCTTCCCCACTTGAGAATCTGGAGTATTTAAAAATTGTTTACTCAGTAATAAACACTGAACGCATTATGTTTTTTACTGTAGCACTTTTAATACACTGTTTAATTATTACCCTTTCCCTATTCTTCTGTAGAAGACAGGTTGTTCTCATTTGGAAGCTGCCTTCAGAGTCTTAGTGTTTTTCTAGGTTACATTGCTTTAATTTTGAAAAAGCCATGAAGGGGCGCCTGGGTGGCTCAGTTGGTTAAGCGACTGCCTTCAGCTCAGGTCATGATCCCAGGGTCCTGGGATCGAGTCCCACATCGGGCTCCC